ATTTAAGTAATCAACAACAGCAAAAGATCTGCTGTTCAGGTAGTTTTAACATGCTATGTCATGGTGATCAGATAAGGAGTAATGACATAATAAATGTGAACACAGAGAGGTCGACTACAAGAAGTCTAGGAAAGTAAGAGGATCTGGTCTGTGTTATGTCTATACTCATTCCACCACAATTTGTGGTAACGTGCACAAAATACAGTAATGTGGTACCCTTCAGATTTGGCTTGAAACTTTCTGCCTACCAAGGTGAAAAGGGAAGTGGAGTTGTATAATTCCTATCTCCTATTGGAGGGGAGCAAATATTTCTTAATGTTATTAAGTTCTAAAACAAATTTCCCACCTGGTGCTTATATAAGGGGCATTGAGTGATAGGATGGATATATTTATATTGCGTACCATTCCTACAGTAAATGAAGTAGTAATTTTTTTTAACAATTTCTTATGAAATCCACCTAATAATAACAATATACCCAACTCAGTGATATCAGTTCTGTTCAGAGCTGAGATAATACGGTCCGTCTATGTGGCCGCCTGTTGTTTGTCTGACTTGATAACAAGGATAAACTTGGAACTCCCGGCCTTCAGGTGGTCTTCCTTACAGAAGGTCTCTTCTTCCTGCTGGCCTTTTAACTGATCCAGGAGAGCAGGACTTTGAGATTGGGCTGGCCAGCTAGGCCCTGAACTGCTGTTTGCTGGGTGCATGGGACTGGTTGAGGTGGGTTCCTATGCCGTAGAAACTAAGTGAGAATTGGTATGAATTACATCATTTGGGGAAAATTCAGGTGCGTAGTTGAGCAGCTTCCCTGGGTAGGGAATGCAGGAGCACCTGCAGATAAAGCCAGAAATGTCTCTGTATCTGCATCACATTAGAAAGCATTGATCAGCTTTTTATTCCCTAACTTACTAAGATTTAAATTTAGTGTCCAGGGTGTGCTAAAGCAGGGCGCTTGTGTACTCCTGGTGGGAGTGCATGTTGATACAGATGTTTTGGAAAGCAATTTGACAGTCTGTTTCAAGAGCCCTGAAGGCATAGTACCGTTTGACCTAGCAGTTCTCCTGGGAACAGTCCCAGGGAAATGACCCTTTAAAAAAGACCTAAGCTTCGCGAGGCTTTCAGTGTTATTTGTCATACTTCATTACTGCATTTATAACATCAAGAAATTGGAGCAATTTAAATGTCTCACAGAAGAAGGGATAAACAAATATATTCCACTCAAAGGAATATTATGACTCAAGTTAAAATATTTTGAAGAATATGTTGTAAGATAGAAAATTTCTTAAAATGTTAGGCGAGGAAAGCAAACTACAAAGAGTATAAACAGTAGAAGTTGACCTGTATTCAAAAGTATACTTAGAAGAAAAGACTGGTGGGAAACATCCCCAAAGAGTAAATCTTTGTTTTTGGTTAGTAAAACTTACTTTTAAGTAAAACAATCTGATAATTTTTGTTTAGCACTTTTGAAAGGAAGGTATATATAAATCTTCATATTCCCTGGAAAAGGGAGCTTTAGAGTAGAGAAAGGATGATTTAAAAACCTATGTTCAGCTGAACTGCAGTATTCATCCTCAGACCTCCTAAATCCCTCTGTTTAAAGTCACACTTACTAAGCATTCTGATTTTCACAGCAGAAAAAAACTACACCTAGATGAGGGTCTCTAAAACCCCAGTCATTCCTTTATTACAACAGCTGTGCCTCTGTTATAAGTGAATAATGGTTTATTAACTAGTCTCCTATGGATTTGATTAGTATGAGTCAGTCTCCCAGGAGCCTGATTCTTGCTCGTGAATGGGATAAAATTAGGTTTTTGAACTTGGAAATCTGAGGTCTGGATCCCGGACTTCTTGATCTCGCCAAAATATAGCAGCAGCCCTGGAGCCCTGCTCAGATCATTAGCATCTAGCCCTTTGTTTCAACAGCAGAAGAAGAGTGAGCAGAAATGAAAGGGAAAATTTGGTAGTTTTATGTGATGAGCAGATCTTTGAGTTAAAAACAAAAGCAGCAGCTAGAAATAGTGGTGGTCTTTCCTTAAGCAACAAATGCTTAATAACTCATTTAGGAACACTTTTGCTTATCAATCTTTTCTAGTTTTTCTTATTTGAAGTGTGATCTGGCTAAGTATATTCACTAATATTTGACTCACTAATTAGCTTCTTTATTATATCACCAGGCTTTGTACTTCATTCACACATTTATTTTTTTATAAAAGCTTTGCTCACATATAATTCACGTATCATACAATTCACCCATGTAGAGGGTATAGTTCAATATTTACAGAGTTGTGCAACCATTCACCACAATCAACTTTAGAACATTTCATCACCCCAAAAAGAAACCCCATACCCATTAGCAGTCACTCCCAGTTTCCCCCCTAATGTCCTAGCTCCAGGTAACCACTAATCTACCTTCTGTCCCTACAGTTTGCCTATTTTGGACTTTTCATGTAAATTGAATCACGTAACATGTGGTCTTTTATCACTGGCTTCTTCACTCAGCATAATGTTTTCAAGGTTCGTCATTATTGTAGTATGCATCAGGACTTCATTTTTTTAATTTATTTTTCATTACTTTTAATTTTTATTTACTTTATTTCTAACATTCCATGGTCTGGATATCCCACATTTTATGTTTCAGTTCATCTGTTGTTAGATGTTTTGATTGTTTCCACTCTGGCTAATATGAATACCACTGTGAATGTTCATGTACACGTTTTTGTGTGGACATATGTTTTCATTTCTCTTGAGCATGTGTACACCCAGGAGTAGAATTGCTAGGTCATATGGTAATTCTGTATTTAATATTTTGAGGCACTGCCAGACTTTTCCAGAGTGGCTACACCATTTTATATTCCTATCAGGGATGTATGAGAGTTCCAATATCACTACATCCTCCCAACACTTGTTATTATCTGTCTAAATCTTTATTAGAGCCATCCGAGTGCATGTGAAGTACATCTCACTGTGGTTTTGATTTATAGTTCCCTGATGACTAATGATGTTGAGTATCTTTTCATGTGCTTATTGGCTATTTGCGTATCTTCTTTGGAGAAAAGTCTATTCAAATCCTTTGCCCATTTTTTAATTGGGTTGTTAGTCTTTTTGTTGTTGAATTATAAGAATTCTTTACATGTTTTGGATATAAGTCCTTTATTATATATGATTTGCAGATATTTTCTCCTGTCTGTGGGTTATCACAGTGAAAGTAAAAGTCTTTTCACTCTCTTGGTGGTGTCCTTTGAAGCACACAAGTTTCTAATTTTGATGAAGTCCAATTCATTTATTTTTTCTTATGCTTTTAGTGTCATATCTAATAAATGCTTCGTTAATCCAAGAGCACAAAGATTTACATTTATGTTTTCTTCCAAGAGTTTTATAGTTTCAATTCTTACATTTAGGTCTTTGACCCATGGTGAGTTAATTTCTGTGTATGGTGTAAGGAAGTGTTCTAACCCCATTCTTTGGCATGTGGATATCCAGTTGTCCCAGCACCATTCATTGAAGAGACAATTATTTCTCCCTTGAATTGTCTTGGCACCCTTCTTGAAAATCAAGTAACTATAAATGTGAAGGTTTACTTCTGGACTCTCAACCCTATTCCATTGACCTATATGTCCATACATATATATTTTTATTTCATTCATTCCACAAAGATTTGAGAAGCATCTTTATATGCCAAGCATTGCTGGACATGTCCATGTTGCTTGATTTTTGGAAACTAAACTATTCCTCTTCGAAGCCCAAGTCTTCTTTAAGAAGCTCATTCTAGCAGGATGTAGCATCTCTTTTTCTTAATGAGATATAAAGTGATTTCCTTTCATAGCCAAGCCTATAGAGGCAGTTTTATCTCTGTCTGATTTGTACAGTCTTTTGGCAAGTTGTGGTTTGTCCAACCATATAAACGTTCAGAAGTCTGAATGCATTTTAGAGGCCTGGGAAGAATGAAAATTGGTCTGGGAGAGTCCAGTGAATGTTTTGAAGATGAGGTTAGTTTTAAAATGAAAGAAAGATCTGCGACCAAGATGAGGGATTTCTGGTGGGTGAGAGTGGCCCACATGCAAGTTGAGAGGTCCAGGAAGTTTGTAAGTCTAGTTGCTGGCAGCAGTAAGGCCAGATGAAATGGCAGGGGTCTGCTGGATTGGATCCTCACAATTCTGCTTCCAGATTTTATTTTAGGAGCAGTTCCTTGCCAGAGTAAAGTTTCAAAGACAAAATGGTGTTTACAGATAATAGCTTATGGCTGCGCTTAAGATGACCTAAAGGAGGCAAGAATTTTATATAATGGTGATGGCTGGTCTCTGGATGGGGACTGTGGTTGTAGGAATTGAAGGGAGAAGCCAAAGAAATGTAAACTTAGCAGAAATTGATGATTACCTAAGTAAATAAAGGTGATTCCAGTCTTAGAACTTGAGGACAGTGGGAGGATCCTTGTCCAGATGCTTACAACAATGCTTGGACAAGGTGAGAAGAAATGGTTTATAATGATAAACTTTGATTTTGCAATGCTGATTGGCAAAATCTTCAAGTGAATTATAAAAGACACCAACTTAACCATTAGTGAGTATATCAAGTCTGGAGCTTCCAACCTTCATTAGACACAAATACAGCTAATTTCCCTTCTGTAGATGCCTAATCATTTTTGAAAACCATATTGTAAAATGAACTTTCAATGTCTAATTTTACAGTTAAGCAGTGGTTTTGTTTTCTCTATATGATAAGTGTAGAAAATATTGTACTTGGTCAGTGATTTTGAAAGGCTTAAGAAGCATACCTAGAGTTCACGGTTTGCTATTGCGATTAACAATATTATTGTTTTGAGTGAGGAAAATGGTTTTTAATATTGACTACATTGAAAAACATTGTATAGCCATATAGATAAGTTTCAGTTACTCTAGACGGTTTTGTGTCTAAGCATTAAATTTTGAATGCTTTAGAAAATATATTACATGTTGAAACTTAATACAGTATGTGTATTTACCTATCCTAAAATTTCTTTCAGGAATTGTTCCATCTTCTGTTGTCCTGACTTCTTTCCAGGTGATGTCAAGAGTTTTTCTAATATGGGCAGTAACGCATAGCGTCAAAGAGGTGAGTGTTTATATAGACTAAAATAAAATAATATCAGCACTAACAAATGCTTGTCAACTTGTCTTTCTCACATGTTTATGGCTAAAGATGGAACTCCAGGTCATATCAATATAGCCCAGATAAAATCCATATTTACTGTAGGAATTAGGTTACTACTGGGAAACACATCCCAAATATGCAGTGTTGTTGAAGAGAATACTAATTAAAAGAGAAAGTCCTGCAGTCTTAGTTCCAATGGAGATTTGGATGATATGGATGTGGTCCGCAGCTCAGTTCTGTTTTCCTGGTACCTTGTTTCTACCAGCATTCTAAACTCTGGACATCTGCATCCTTGTACTGGGATGAGTGGGGGTATGGGGGACACTAATTCGTTCCCAGAGCAGTCTGATCTTTGTAGGACCGGGAGAAACAAATTTGTTCCCACCCAGCCCGCCAGGATTAATAGAATTCCTAAATGTGCTGAGTCTGGTGCTTCTGGGAGGTGAGTGCTCTGCTGGGACTGGGGATACTGGTGGTAAGAACTGGCGGGGAGAAAGCCATCATTACCATGGGTCTGAATCCACAACTAGACTCTCATTTTCTGGTTATTGGAGAAGGAGGTTGTTTCCTTATATGTCTGTTACTTATTAAAAGTCAGTTATTTTGCTAATGTCACCTGGAGTTAGAGTACCTGTAGTTACCAGGAGGATGCAGTTTTCAGTTTTTCAGTCCCAGTGACCCATCACCAACATTATTGGGTTCTTTGGGGCTTGTGAAATGCGCTTATCAGTTAGCATTATTCTGGTATTTTCTTTGTCCTCTATTCTTCCGAAATCCCTGTCAAACCGTTTTGTTTTTCAGGGTTTATTTTGATGGTTTTATTTGTATTTCAACTAATGAGGCTTTTTTTTAGCTTTTTATCGGCATATGATATACATACATAAAAATGCACATAGCTAATGAGTTTTTAACGAAAGTTGATTAAGCTAAGTTATTATTTTTGTTACATTCATGTGGAATTTGCAGATCCACAGGCGTTTTTTTAAAGCTCTCCCACTCTTTGAAGATGTCTAAACATTCTATGCAGGAAGAATGTAAAACAATCACATACTTTTTTTTAGAGTGATCACATTTCTTAAAAAAAAAGTTAAAAGAAAAACAGGCAGGTAACCCTACTGTAGCATATTGCCGTCTGTTCTCACTCTTAATTGTTTATGGAGTAAGGAAAAGTTACTTTATTTATAATACCATGCCAGTTCTTCATTCATTTCAGAGCTCTTTCTACAAATCATCATTTTTAGCCTATATTTCTTCCTCCCTTACTTTTGTGTATACACTATTTCCTTTTCATTTTAACCAGCAACTCATGGTTTTAACTTCCCAGTAGTCTCAAGTGACCTAACATTTCTTCCTAATGGTAACTCATTTACATTCTTAAACAGGTGATTATGTGCTTTCAGTAATTAAATGTTAGGTACATGGGGACAGCGTATTGTCAACTCTGGAGTGTGTTTAATCCTTTGTCAGTACAGTCAGATGTTAATTGTCCAGGTGCTAGTGCTCCAGTTGATGGGTTATTCGTGGCCTCGGCTTCTTCTCCTTTCTTCCCTTCAGTGACCACGCCTCTGCTTATTTAGCCCTTCTGGCAAAGAGGGTAGACAAGTAAACCAAAAATGCTTATGGTTCAAGTCAGTCAATTTTGCTAGACATCTTACTGTTAGCAACATTCACCAGGATTTCCTGGGCAGATCATTAAGACTGCTTGGTTTAAAAGGCCATTAAATATCTCTGTGGATTATAGGTACATGGACCTGGCCGTCACCCTCAGTAACCACACTGCCTGACAGATGCATAGACTTGACATTTAACAGATGGTTTCATATATAGTGTCATATTCAACTTTACAGTAATTTAAGTTATATACTTGTTACATTTGCATATTCAAAGTTGTTTCTCTGCAACCACACTTACCCAAATTTCTACTAATGTTAACATATCATTTTCTTAAGAATGTAGGGCAGTAAATTTTATTCCTTCTGTCACTTCTTGGGTCCTCTTCTTTTTACATACACCCTATTGATAGTTGACTTACTCCTTTCTCACAGAAATAGGGCTCAGTATTTCTGCTATTCCAGTATCCGAGTTCTTTTCCCCTCCTTCCCGTTTTCTTTGAACAGAACTCATTCATCCTTTTGATATAGCAGTAGATTTCCTCCAGGCCTGCCCCAGGTCGTTAAGAGCTAACTTGAAAAGCCTGTTGCTGTGACATTTCAGAGGCCAGTCTGCTGTCTGTCACCTGTTCCTCAGCCCCTTCTCTTGGCCAAATGCGATTTTTCCTGCCTTAGAGTTTCATATTAGCTATAATTCAGTTTGTACTGTACAACGCTATGTATGACTTGGCTGCAAAACTTCCATTCTTCTGTTTCCTGAGACATCTTTAAAATATCTTTATTTTCCTTATATTCAGCTCTGTTTACTTGATTGGTGGGAACCACATCACTAATACATAAAGAAACTGACCTCAGAAATAAATATGTCTCCCTTTCTCCTAGTGATGCTCACATTCGTTTCCTACTCCTCTGCTTTCACGTCGTGCTCCCCTCTGAACTGGATGAGGATTCTTCATGTTCGTAGCATTCTAGTGGGTATTCAGCTCTTGCTGCACCCTCTCTGGCCTGCTCCTGTTTTCTATGCTCATTCCCTTTGTTTTTCTAGAATTGTACGTGATGTGCTAAGATATAGCATATATACCTCTGTAATAGACAGACTCAGACTTTTTTCTTCCTATGTAGGGAAAACCCAGTTCTTCCCTTCTGTGTTTCTCTACTGTGAATCTCCTTTACTGCTCACATAGAACTCTTTACTTCTGACACTTCTGGTCACCAAATGTGTGGAGGTTTTTTCCCCATAACAAGCCACTCTCAGTGACACCAGCTGGGTGTCCTACAGTTTAACTCAATTCTAACACTGTCCACCTGGAGGTAGTGTTGGATCCCACAGCTTGAGGGCTCAGTCCCACAAGGCAGCTTCCCCTTCCCTCACTTCAGGTGCCGGTCGCAAGTCCAGGTTGTCACCTGAGCTACTACCAACTGGCTGTAGATCAGAGGTTCCCAGGACCCCCTCCTTGGGTTCGATTAATTTGCTAGAGCAGCTCACAGAACTCAGGGAAACACTTAGGTTTACCAGTTTATTAGAGGTTATGATGAAGGGTACAGGTGAACAGCCAGATGAGGCGATAACACAGGGAGAGGTCTGGGAGGGTCCCGAGCACAGGAGCTTCTGCCCCCATGGAGTTGAGGCATGTCACCCTCCCAGGAGGTGGATGTGTTCACCACCCTGGAAGGTCTCTCTGCTATTGGGATTTAGGGAGGTTTCATCACATAGGTGAGATCAGTTATTACCTCCATTTCTAGTCCCTCTCCCCTGTTTAGAAGATGGAGGATGGGCTGAACATTCCCAGTAGTTTTTGTTTTTGTTTTTGTTTTTGTTTTTGTTTTTGTTTTGCTGGAGAAGATTCACCCTGAGCTAACATCTGTTGCCAGTCTTCCTCTTTTTTTATTTTTATGTCAGCCACTGCCACAGCATGGCCACTGACAGACGAGTGATGTGGTTCCGCACTCAGGAACTGAACCCAGGCTGCTGAAGCGGAGCGTCCCAAACTTTAACCACTAGGCCATCAGGGCTGGCCCTGAACATTCCAAGCTTCTAATCATGGCTCGGTCTTTCTGGTGACCAGCGCCCATTCAGGAGCCCAGCCAGCATCACCTCAGTAGGAAGAAAAGATGCTCCCAGTGCTCTTATCCCTTAGGAATTTATGAGATTTTAGGAGTCCTGTGTCAGGCACAGGGTCAGAGATCAAGTATTAGAACAAGAGATGCTCTTAGTGTTCTTATCATTTAGGAAATTACAAGGGCTTCAGGAGCTCTGTGCCAGGAACTGGGGACAGAGAGCAATGTATATATTTTCTATTATCTCATAATACCTTTTATGACTAGATGCTGCTTTTTTCATATTTGAGTTATATATCCTTTTAAGAGGCCCTGTAGGACACGTATCCTCGCTTGTCATTTTAATTTTCTACCCCATGAAATGCTAGTCGTATAAATGTCCCCATGTACATTGTAGAACTAAAAGGTGACCACATGGTTTTCTTTTATGACATATAAGGACCCACTCATCAGCTAGTGTGACACCGTGATTGTCAGGATATCAAAGAAAAAATTTTGGTCTCTGTGTTCAAAAGCTTTTTCTTGGACTAACATAGCAAATAACTTTCTCATTTTTCCTTTTAAAGAGACCTTATGTATGTGCAAAGTAAAGCTTCTGATGAAAACAACAAGCTCACGGTGGGAGGTAGGGCATGGGGAATGCAGGAGGGGCTCAGCAATTCTACCTGACCTATTTCCTTTCTGATTTCCCCACCTGTCTCCCAGACCTGAGCTGGCTCCTCCTTCCCCATCCCTTAGCCAGCCTGGCCACTGCTGCCCCCACAGCACAGGCATTTGTTCCCCTCACCCTCCGTTTGGGTCTGTGTCTTTTGTCTCCTTGTTGAACTGAAATAAAATTGGCATTTTTCAAAGTGAACTACAGTGGGAAATGCCACCTTCTGTCCCTCACTATGACTCCCCTTCAAAAACAGACAAGTCTTAGGGCACATATTCTTCCTGGGCCCAAAGGGGCTGAGCCGAGCCCCAGGTTCCTGGACACACAAGTAGGCCACTGTCCCTTTTCCTGGCCCAGCTGTCTTCGAAGAAGCCACCCCAAATCCTGTCCTGAGTTCTTAGTGTAAGATCACCGTGTTCTTGGAGCAGAGTCCCCAGTCACCTGACAGGCAGTAGTTGAGGAGGACATTGCTACCCTCTCACTGTGGCTTCAACCCAGTGCTGAAAACACTCTCCATGCTTTCCGAGAGGTGATTTGCATAGAACAGAACCCTATTCTGGCCTGGAGTGCTGAGCTTCTCTCCTTCCTTCTTCACCCTTTGCCACCATTGGAGAAACAGATGTTTTCCCGCATTCCTC